CCGCACGTGTGTGTCGGCGCCGCCGCACCACTGCACAGCCGCTGCCGGAGGGCCCCATATTCCAAATACCAGGGAAGGCCGAGCAAAGGGGGAACCATGGCTAGACCACTGCAATCGACCGCCGCTAGGACTCCCGCGACGTTCGCCGGACAACAGCTGCTAGCGCCGCCCATCGAGGAGATGGAGAACAGAGAACGCCACAGCCACGCCACCGGGCCCAGGAAGAACCAGATGCTCGCCGGAATTAGGGAGAGCTAGGGCTGTCGGAGGAGAGGCTCACGCAGGGGTCACGATCGACTGGGGCAATAAGGGAGATTGGGGATTTTTTTCGTCGGAGGAGAGAGAGAAATTAATGCAAGGCACGTTTACAATTTGGAACATCCTCCAAATATTTTTTTTATCCATTATTTGTAAATTCTTACAGAACTCCCAATTAAAAATGGACTATAGGATTGAGAAAGTAGGTGTACTCAATTGGGATTTCAAGTGACATTTTGAGACTTTTTAAAAGTTTTAGATTTTGAAAGAATTATGTGAAATCTTAAGTTTGAAGGTGGTATTTGAAGTGATATTTCGTATAAATTTTTTCATCAGAAATTCCACCAAATCTTACAAAGTCTTAGCAAATTCTACTCTAAAATAACAAGTTAAATAACTCATGGTTTCGTAAGACTTTTTAAAATTCCAAATGAATATTCCAGAACTTTTAAAAGAACTTAAAAGTCTTAAGACAATTAGACGTTTAAAATCCTAGTCTTAAGTCCAATTAGTTACCAAACCGTTAAAGATGAGAAGATTCACAATTATGTTGGTAACTCATCTTTAATTTATAAACCGTTAAACTCAACTTTCAACCAATTTATTTTCAAACAATTAAGTACATTGAGTAAAATGTTAAATTTCAAAACTTACACATTAATTCCCAACCCGGCTTACGTTTATACCAAACAAATTAACTTCAATATATTCTACATTTGTATGTGCGCTATTTATTAATTCCTGATAATCTTTTCCTTAATTAAACTATAAAGACTAGTCTCTATCGAAAACAACAAAATGGGAGACAAAAGTATCATCATTCCCGTGTTATTTTTTTATATATGCGCTAACTATCTGCATGTGTTAGTAGCACAAGACGAACCCGATTGCTATTTCACTGATGGATTTAGCGTTTATGTATTTAACAAGCTCCCTCCAAATTCGGCTCCTCTAAAATTGCATTGTGCATCTAAAGACGATGACTTGGGAAATCATACACTTTCAACGAATCAACATTTTCAATGGAAGTTTTGCGAGAACGTTGTGTGGAGTACGCTGTACTTCTGCCATTTGTGGTGGGATTCAATGCAGAAAGCCTTGGAGACGTTTAATTCGTTAAAGAGAGAGGAATGTGATACGGGTTTCTGCTTGTGGGTAGCCAAGACAGATGGTATTTATTTCACTAATGGAAGCATAACATTGAGTTCCTTAACAAAGAAATTCGATTGGGATATTTCACATGCAAAAAATGATATAGATGTAAAGGTAAATACTAACCCTTGAACAAAAAGTGTGATTTTCAGAAATAATGCTCCTTTCAAGTTTATAGACTAGCTATGGAGCCGTGTGACCATTTTCCTATGTTTCTATTTTTTTATTTTTTTTATTTTCCTCGGAAAGTTTATTGTTCTTTGCTGTCATTGAAAGTTCAAACGAAGTTCTAAATACGAGTCATAAGTGCTACTTACAAATATAAATTAAATTGATTTGATGTAAAAATAAGAGAGAGATGATTTGTGATGGACTGATGGTTAGTTTAAAGTAATGTGGGTAGATGAATAGTGAATTAAGGTTGATGTGGTGTGTGTGAATGATTGGTTAATATTATTTAATTATATTGATAATATTGATAATAGTAGAGTTAAGTTAAAGTTGAATTAAAAGAAATAGTTGAGTTAAAATATTTAAAAAATTTTGAAAAATACTATAACAATTTTGCAACTTATAATGATATTATATATATTGAGTCTAAAAGCATTTTGACAACGTGACTTCATGTACCTTAATCACCTTTACTAGAAACATGAGAAACATAAACTAAATTACCAACATTCACTATGGCATACCTAAGACTAGTTAAAAAAACGTTTTTTTCCATCGGTTAAAAATAATATTACATCAATTTTTTCACACGTGGTAACATCAACCCATACATGAAGTTTTAGCTTATTGTATTGGTATTAAAGTGATGTAAAATGTCGTACTTGTTTCTATCGATTCTGTAGAACTGATGTAACCCTTTGAAATATAGGATATGAATTTCTAGAAAATGAAAGGGACACTTCTTTAAAAATTCTCAATTCTTTTTCAAACTTTCACGTCAAAAAAATCCACTGCACTCCCTACCCTCTAATCATTCTTCCACTTAAAAATAATACATATTTATTATAACAATTATTATATAAATTAAATAAGAAAGAGTAAGAGTAGTATATGGTAACTTGAGAAAAAAAGCCTAAAATAGTTTATGGTAAATCTCAAGCCTAAAACGGAACATGTACATGTGTTAATACAAAACATCTAATTATGCCAAATAAACTTCTGAAGCATATGAGTCTGCCACTTAGGCTCGTGACATTCGGAAATTATATATAGGGACGATTTATAAAATTATCTGTAATATCTTATGACAAGTTATTATAGGGATATGCTAAAAGTTGATAATTATATTACCTTGATTTTATAGTAAATCGACCTAAAATTCGACTTTCATACCCATACCAAATAAAATTCATACCACTTATTTTATTTTAAAAATTAAATACACTTCTATCCATACCATATGAAACTCATATCATTTAAATTTGGACATTTCATGTCAAAATAAAACCGCACTCAATTTATTAATCATAATACTCAAGTATTATCTTATTCTAAATAGTGTCATATAATATTATTAAAATATTTTTTTAAAATTAACAACCCAATTTTATTATATGCAAATATTTGATATTTCTAACAAATTAAATTTTATACTCTAATAGCTTACACAACACGAATTTCTATTTACGCTGCGTAGTATAAGAGCAAAAACGTGACGACTTATGTTATAAACATTTTAAAACACTAAAAGGAATATAATTTTAATATAAATGACCGTTAAGGCAAGATTATATTATTTATTGTGAAACCCCATGCGCAAAGAAGGACTAAAATTTTAAATATTTATTTATTAAAAATTAAGCACATCATTTATTTTTTAAAAGAAAATAAATAATTATTATGATAGGATATCAACCAATTTAATGCGTGATATATCATGTTTATCAGTTTCATATATGGAATGTGTCGCTTAAGTGATTTTAATTGAAATAAATATAGAGTTGTGGATATATTAAGGGATGGTTTTTATTTATATTGAAATTAAAAGACAAATTTGTTTCCATAAAACGAAAAATTACCTAAAATTAAAATCAAAATATTTCTAAATTTCAAAATTAAAGCTCTATTGAGTTCATGACCATTTGTCGGGTAAACTTAATTAAACACATTCAAATACTCATAGAAAATAATGCATAAGTGATTTTGAGCAATATAAACATCATTTAAGACCGAAATTCGATGTTCTTTTATGTTCATTGGAATTGGTACTGAAGACGCGATATTGGGTACTAAACTACAATTTAAATTGTGCAAAATTATATAAAATATGTCTATTTAAAATTAGTACACAACTCGTACGGTGTACATAACTGATAATAAGTTACATTATTCTATTTCAAAATAAATGTCATTTTAAATTTTTTTATTCAAAAATTCAATTTGAGTACAATGTGGTTCCATTAAATAATATTTTGGTAAATTTTTTATCATATGTTTAAAAATATATGTGAATAATAAGTATACTATTACTGAATCATATATTTATTATATTTGTTATAAAATAATTTATGTTGTATTCATATTTTCGAAATTAGTTTATTGATAAATATAGTTTTATTTATAATGATCGATGTAATTATTTTTATTTTATATATGCAATATGGATGTCAATCGAAGATCGTTAAAATATGATTATTTTGAAATATAATATACAAAAAATAAAATAAAAATAAAAAAGTTATATTGATGTAAAAATAAAAGAATACATAATTATAGCAATTATTATATGAATTAAATGATCAAGGGTGTCATTTAATGAAATGAAGTGTATTAGTAGTGTTTTCTCATTAGTGTGTCGAGTTCACGACTATTTTACGATTAAACTCAATTAAAAACATTTTAAATCTCATATAAACTAATGTGAGAGTATTATGGGTCATATAAACATTATTTTAGACCGAAATTCGGTGTTTTTATGTGTTCATTACAAGTGGTACTAAAGTCTCAATACCAGATACTACAACAATACAAAACTGGTACCATATCTAACTCTATGTCTGGTACTACTTTTTGTAAATGTTGACCAAAATTGAAATAATCTATTCTCGGTCTCAAAAGTAGGTACTAATCGATCAAAAACAGGTACCATGTAGAAGAAGATGCGGTACTATTTTGGCTAAAACATGTAGTATTTTAAGAATCGTGATTTCTCTAATCCTTCATGTCTACAATGACACGTGGATCGTTCATGCGTGATTTGGATGAAAAATAATGGAAGTTAAAACATATAAGTAGCATTTGGAATAGTCATGTATGATGATTCTATGAGTTGAAGTGTGTCATTCAATTAAATGAAGCGTATTAGTAGTTTTTTCTCATTAGTGTGTCGAGTTCATGACCAATTTGCGATTAAACTCATTTTAAAACATTTTAAATCTCATACATTATTGGTCATATAAACATTATTTGAGACCGAACTTTAGTATTTTTATGTGTTCGTTACAAGTGGTACTAAAGACCCGATATCTGGTACTAAAACACCGAAAGCTGGTACTATTCTATTCTAGGTCTGGTACCAATTATTGCAAATGTTGACCACAATTGAATAATCCATTTTTGTTGACCAAAAGTTGGTACTAATTGATAAAAAATAGGTACCACGTAGAAGATTATGCGGTACTATATTGGCTAAAATAGGTACTAATTGGATGTGTTCCATTATACCGTCAAGCTGCACCACCAACCGAGTGCATCCAACCTCAATCTTCTTCACTTGAGTTGTTTGGGCCGACACGCGAGCAAGAATGATATCGAGTTTTTCATCAAATGTCAAAGTGGTCCCCCGATGTTCATTATCCACGAGGGGCCCGATCGTATTTAATGTGAGATGACATCGTGGGGCCCGATCGTGACACTTGACGGTTTTGATTGACGTCTACTTTATCGGCAATTATTGTGTTTGCCGAAGACGGATCTTTTCGATATTCGGGTCGGGCCGATGATATTAATTCTGCTCGGCTCGAACGTGGACGATCTGGGCACTTGGGAACTCGGTCGATATTAAATAATCAGCTTAGAACCTGCTATGTTTATATTTATTTAATACATATTCACGTGTAGCATTCTTATTAATCGAGGCCAAATTGGGTATCAACGGTTCACTCTCAATAACTCTTCGTAACAAGAGAGTGAATATAGACGATCAACTATCAATTCCAACAACACATAGACAATACGTTTCTGAACAAGCCTATTCTAAACGAACCTAAATCGACCAACGTCTCCCCTCTCGGTTCTACACGTTGATTAACTAGGTTAGAATGGTGATCAATCAACTAACCCTATAATTCACACAACTCGCATAGATACAAATAATCAAAAGCATTGAATTATAAACGAACCTAATCAATCATCCCCTATCCCAAGCGAATGGATTTAGCTACTCATATGGAATTCAACACAATTCATCTCAAGAACCCAAGCATTCATATTCAAAGATTAATTGAAAAAGAAAACTTACGATTAATATAGAACCAAGAGTCGAATCCAATGAACAATCTATATCCGAAGCAAGAAAAAGGAGTTTTTCAATATCCAAATCCAATCAAAAGTGAAAAAGCATGAAAAGAAATGAGTGTCTAGAGAGAAAAAGCATAAAACATAAGTCTGGAAGTGAATAATGAGCCCTAGGTCCAAAATTTGATGTTAAAACCCGCATCTCGAAATTCACGTCAACAAGTCGCGAGTCGCGACTTTCACTTTCCTCAGGTCGCGAGTCGCCACTTCCTCGAGAGTCGCGCGTCGTCAAATTCTTCAAATTCTGGAGTTGGTCGCGACATATCTCGCGAGTCGCGACTACATGTCGTGAGTCGCAACTCGAGCTCGCGAACTGCACCTTCAGGCTCTATTTTTCTCGCGAGTCGCGACTCGGGCTGCACTGCGCCACTTTACGTTTTGGGCTCGTTTGGGCTCGTCCAAACTCGGAATTGAGTTCCGTTTTTTGCTATGCGTCGCCAACGAACCCCTCTATTCAACTATGCTCTCGAAATCAATTTTTCCTGTTGATAAAATTCACCCGAAGCTCCCGACCTACACATCAAAAACGACAAAACACAGAAAAACAAACGAAAAACACCTAAAGACTCAAAATGAAGGAAAACGCATAATGAAACACGAAACGGACTAAAAACTAAAGAAATAACCTAAAACGGGAGAAAAAGAAAGATAAAATAAATACAAAAAACGCAACAAAAATGGGACAAACACTCTCTTATACTAGGTCTGGTACCAATTATTGCTAATGTTGACCACAATTAAATAATCCATTTTCCTTGACCAAAGGTTGGTACTAATCGATCAAAAACAGGTATCACGTAGAAGAAGATGCGGTACTATTTTGGCTAAAACAGGTACTATTTTAAGAATCGTGGTATCTCTAATCCTTCATGTCTACCATGACACGTGGATCGTTCACGAGTGATTTAGATGAAAAATAGTGGAAGTTAAAACATATAGGTAGAATTTAGAGTATTTATATATGATGATTCAAATATAATCGCGGACGCTAACTAAAATAAATAAACTATTTAATTTATTTCAATTAGACAAATAAGAGCAAATAATCCAATTATCATGCATTTATAATATTCCAAACACATAAGATAACAACAATATGTATTCAAAATACATACAAGTAAGTAATCTAATTACCTATGTAATATATTCAAAATACATACAAGTAAGTAATCTAATTTACTCATGCATTTATGTGGTTCTAAACACATATAACAATGATGTATTCAAAATACATAAGCCAAGCAAATTTATGGATCAAAATAAGATGCTAAAATATTAATCAAAATTTCTAAAATTTTGATTTGCTAAACAAGCTCAAAGCTTCATTTTGTTCATTAAATATTTCAAAAATATTTAAAAGTCGTCGGACAACAATTTTAGTTTGAAATATACCTTAAAGGTTAATTTCAATTTTAGGAATTTTTCAGAAATTTAAAACAAGCAAAAATGACCATTATTTGAGATTTTTCAAAAATCTGATTTTTGTAACAACCAAACAGGCTTTAACAACTTTTCATAAATTACAAACTGGCCCCAAGGACCAAATTACATGTTTTCAAAAGTTTTTAATTTGCAGATTGGCCACAGGACACAATTGCAATTAAATGATAGTTCTGAAATTATGAATTGACCCCAGGGGTCAAATTGGAATAAAATGAAGTTTCAAAAATTTGAAATCCCTCCCTTAAAATTATCAAATTTCCAAAAATTTGTCCCTGCAACTCCAAAATGCTATTTCACCTCCCGTCGCTCGCCCTCACGCGTCTACCACGGCACTTGACTCCGGAAAGGCCCCGCCGCCACAGGCCTGCGTCTTCTCGCCGGAATCGTTCCAGGCGGTCAAACCGATTTTTTTTTATGTGCATCCGCCATTAATGGTGGACCGAGCTCGAAGCTCGATTTTTGGTGTCCTGTCCGTCGACCCCCTCTAGCCGCTCATGTCCAGAGGAACGCGACAACAACCGGCCGCGCGACAAGGCCGCCTAGTGGCAGCGGCGGCGCAACAGGAACCGCCCAGCGGCGGTGGCGCTCGGCCTCTCGATTTCCGGCGGCCAGTGCCAGTGGCGACATCGCCGGCAGTAGACGGATGATCGAAACGGGCGACGGCTCTTGCCGGGATCCCAGATTCAGTTCGAACAGAAACGGCAAATCCCAGATTTTTTTTATGAACAGACCCATTCCCAGAAATTTTGAACAGATCGTATAACAACAACAATTCTTAATGTTAGTTTAATCACCATCAAAACAATTTTAGTGATAAATTGAACTAAAATACCGCATTAGCAGATTCCAAATCTTAGTTCGAACAGATGGAAATTGAAAGAGAGGGGAACTAAGAGACAGATAGTTGAATTTTTTTTCTAATTTTTTATGATTTTTCAGTAAAAATAAATGAATCATAATAAAAGTAGTATATATATGAGGAGTGATTTGGAAAAAAAAATTAGATGGAGGGAGTGCGGAGGAAGTAAAAAAGAGATGAGGACTAACAAGGAAATTGATTAGGGCGTTGGGGATTTATCTTGAATTTACCATTTGAAAATCAATTTTAAAATACTTTTTCACATTAAAAACCAATGTAATAATGTATGTTTACAAACTGGTTTTAGAAAAATCGATATAACAAGTAGGGAAAATTTATTTTACATCCAAATATATACATGCATTTTATTTTATACATTGTCCCATCAAAATATTTCTTTTTCACCTCACAATTCATGAAATTATATGCAATATAAAAATCGCATATTCAAATGAACCGTATAATTAGCAAATATGCGAGATTTATCGTATATTTACCAACGCATATCCAAATCAGGTGTATAGTTAATAATTGTGTGAACCCCATTTGCATATTTTTTAATCATATATCCAAATCCACCGATTTTTCGTAAATAAATATAATCAAAGTTATTTCGCATATACAATAATCTCATATTCAAATTAATAACCGCATATTTATCATTATGCGACATCTTTTTCGCATATTTACGACTCGCATATCATAATACACTGCATAGTTAACAAGTATGTGAAACACTTACGTATAATATTTAATTGCATATCTAAAATTTACCATATACGATAACGTTTCGCATTTCTAAATTTAAATACACCGCATCATTTACCATATACGATAATGTTTCTCATATTAATTTATCGCATATCCAAATCGAACGTTTCATTTTTTAGGATTATGCAAAAAAATTCGCATAGTTTTCAACTCACATATCAAAATCTATAACGTCGTATAATTACCGATTATGCATAACATGCTCGCACATTCAAGACTCGCATGATTTATGATTATCCAACTCATAATTATGCAAAAATTATTCCGCATATATAGTTACCGCATATTCAAATTGATCGCTGCATATTTTAGAATTATGTGAAATATTTTAGCATAGTTTTCAACTTGCATATCCAAATATATAACGTCGTATAATTAATGCGGTTATCCGTAACATGTTTGTATATTCACGCATCGCATAATTTAATATTATTCAAATCAAAATTTTGTGAAAATTTTTCTGCATATATAGTTACCGCATATCTAAATCGATCACCGCATATTTATTATTATGCAAAATGTGTTTGATTCATTTAGGACTCGTATATTCAAATCAGACGCATAGTTAATAAACATGTGAATTATTTTCACATATTTGTAATCGCATATGTTAATATACCATGCTGCAGCGACGTGTGGGGGCACGTGGAGCTTCGGCATCGGCGCGTACGACTGTAGTAGGTGGTCGTGAATACACCTATGGATTCGCCTTTCTTTAGTGATCGTCCTCTCCAGCTTTTGTCGCTATAGGAAGTGCTGCGAGGTTGTATATTCGACGGGATGAACGTGTTTATATATTCGTCGGGGTACGAGTACATAACCTTGGATCTTCTATTGTATGATCTTTACACCATCTCCAATCAATCTTGGTGGAGCGATTAATAAGATCTCCCAAAGCCTCTTGATTTTTCTTTTCCTAAGACCTCTCGACTTTATCCGAATTTTTCAAGAATAACTCTTTTTCTCACAAGTATTGGACGTGTACATTCAGATCCAAACGTGTGGAAATATGATTTTTATGCGTGAGGAATAAATCACCTTGGAGGCTAGGAGACTTGGTGTATTTATAGGCTACAATAGGGACCCTAAGGAGATGCTAAATATGGGCTTCTTCAAATAGGTTTAAGAAACATTATATCTTTCAATTTATTAACCTTTGAAAAGTCCTAATGCCTTCCAACTTAATTACCCTTCTACAAGACCCCATGTCTTCTAAACTTAGTAATATTCTAGAAGACATTAATCCTTCTACTAAGAGCATCTACAATGCTTTGAGTTCAATCACAAAAAATTATATGTCAATTAAGAAATAGACTTAGTCTAAAAAAATATATTCTTCAATGCAAATAAAAGTAGACTGGGTCCTGATGATGTGGCAGCGAACAAAAAAGCATGGCCTTTTCTTACCTATCAAAATACGTCGGATAAGTCATAACAAGTATATGAATCTTTTTCACTATTACTATCTTCACTATTACTAATAGTATGACTCTATTTTAGACCCAAGTAGCGCTCTAGTCTCTTTGCATTGGAGTGAATTTTGTTAATTTTACATAATTTTATCAATGTCATCCAAGACTTGAGTTTATTTACATGCCAAATAGGCAAGACTAAACCCAATGCATTGTAGATGCTCTTAAGAAAATTCTAGATGATACTTTAATTCCTATTCCTTATTTGAATAAATGATAAAACATTCCACTAGAGTAATATTATTGATCTCTCCATTTAACTCCAGACTACAATTAATTCATCTCCCGACTAATTACTTGATTTATCTCCTCATGTTTAAGATATAACATCCATTCATTAATTTAATTAACTGACAATATAATTAATCAATTTTATTTGCGTACTAACACCAAAAATAGTACCACTCAATCCTTTATCGATTATGTCGGAAATTAATTCTCCGGCTGGGCTTGACATAATAATCCTTCTTGAGCTCATGTCGGGGACGTCATCAACCCAGCGGATCAGAACACGGTAACCGTAAACAATCTTAACGGCACATCATTCACTCGACATTATTTACCAAAATACAGAGTATGTCGACCTAATAAAATAAGTCTCACCCATAGTAAATCAAATAAATAAGTACCGAATACATATGCTCGTTTATTGTCTTACTGTTAAGAGAACACAACAATTACTGAGGTCTAGATTATAATTACGTAGTCAGTATAAAAATAATCTTATCCTCATAGGTTCGTTCGATACATAAGAGATATACCAGTGTAATTCATTAGTCAAAGATCAACTAACTCAAAATCACACTACAACCTATACCGACAATTAGTTCAATTATGTCATGGCCATGAACAAATATTTATATTTTACAAGATACCGATAATGTGATTTTTCTATTCGACATATCGAACCACATTATCTGCAATGTAAATAAAAGAACTATGTTTGCATAAACAAATAAACTACGAACATCAACTTGACTAAAGACATGCATCTCATTCAAAATGGAATTGGGAGTAATCACAAAGTCGAGCTTCTACAGTGTACTCCAACAGATATGTGTATTTATAAGATACAACACGAATCTTGTGGAGGTGCTCAATAAAGACTCCTCAAGTGTAACAGAATTCTATGTCTCTAGTCCACCTACACCTTTTACACTTGAATAATATTTTATTACACTAAAAAGTGTTATTGAACTTTATATTTAGCCCCCTAAATTACATTTGAGGCAATCTACTCATTTTACTTCCCCATGTTTAAGGTATAATATTCGTTAATTAATTTAATTACGGACTATATAATTAATCGATTTCTTGATACAAAACTACTAACACACAATTTTTCTTATTATTATGCCAGTTAAATCCACCTGCAGGGCTTGACATAATAATCTTCCTTCAATTCATTTTGGGGACATCGACAAACTAGCGCACTAGCACAAGCTGACCGTAAATAGTCGAACAATACATCATAAACACAACATCATTTCCAAACTCACCAGCAGAAGGAATCTTGCTTTTTAGTGAATAAAGAAATAACTACTGAGTGCATATGCCCGTTATTATCTTACGGCTTAAGAGTACGCACTAATTATCGAGATCTAGTTTTTTCACTTGATCACTATAAGATAAACTTATCCTCTGCAGGTCCGTTCAATACACTCTTAGTGTACTAATGTAATCCAACGGTCAAGACCAACTTATCTAAATTACACTACAACATTTCTCAATTGTTTGTTCAATATATATCTAGGTTGTGAATCAATCTTTATGTTTTACAAGTAACAGATAATATGATTTTCTGCTCATCCGTGATAAACCATATTTATCTAAATGTAAAACAACAGAACATAGAAGCGTTTAATTAAACATAATTCTCTTTCAAACGAGAATGATGTTCATAACAAAAAGACAAGTTTTTAGCATACACTCTAACACACTGGACGTAGGACGGTGGAGGTTGACGCCACAAAATTTGGAGACTCAAATTCTGCTCAGTGATCGGAAGAAGGCCGAACAAAGGGAACAAACACCATGCTAACTACCAAAGAATATGGCGAAGAAGAGTCAGATGATTTTACTAGTATTAGCGGAACCACCGTAACGGAAGACAACTACGATTACTTGAGCGTTCAACGCATCCTGTCATCTTTTTCCATCAAGGTAAGTAAAGTAAGAGAACTACGAGTACTTTGATTCCTAAAGTAAGGGATATATAAACAACTTAATAGACATATTATAAGTTAAAATATCATTTTTAATAATAAAAATTTTACCTTAATTGATATTTTAATTTATATTATGTCGACTAAACCCAAGTCCAACTTCTATTTTTCTAATAAATACGTCGGCAACCAGTTTGGCCCTGAATCAGCGGGTCGATAACAGACATGTGTATATATTCGGTCCGGTTCCGGTTCACATAAAATGTGAACATGAATCGACAATTCTGAACAAGAACCTGCCTGAAATCGGGTTTTGGCCATATATAGGTAGACATGGCCACAGATCGATCCGGAATCGTCCTGTGATCAACGGGCCTTGAATTGAGCTTGTGGTTTAACCGAGCCGATTTCAGGTTGCGTATTTGTATTTTTTTAAATCGTCGGGCCAGAACCGAAATCAAAATTGGTAATTCAGCCTTCATTTTTTTATTTTTTAATTATTTTCTAATGAACTTGGCAGGTCCGAAACCGACTGTGGTTCACGAACCTGCCCGTATATGTTTACGGACTGGTTCAGGGCCTTCAAAACCGCGGCTCGGAAGGTGTGCGAGGAAGCAGAGGCAGGCGCGGCATAGGGAAGAATGTAGTGAGACACTCTCTCTCTCTCTCTTACACACAAAGTATGTGTACAAGCCTCCTCAGCGCTCAGATCTCTACTCGGCTTAAATTAAGCATTAGATTTTCTCTAGTTTAGACAATTATTTTATATGGAAATCTTGTTCTCAATTTTTGGATAGTCATTATCTTCACTAGATTTTCTTGCATCCGAGAAGCCAAAGAAGGGTAAATAAGAAGAACAATATTCCGCACACATAGCAGCAAAATATCATATATTCTCACAGTTCTTTCGCAATTTTTGTATGTTATAGGGATATGCTTCCTCTCAGTTTCATTATCTTGTATTGCCTGCTTTTCACTTTGCTCTCCTCCGTTAATGGGGCAACCAACATCTTGAATGTTACTCTTCCTCACCAGCTGCCCAACCCCGAAGCTGTGGTTGAAGATGTAAAAAGGTAACTAAACGTCTACATCTTATATACACAAATTTGTATGTATGTTTCTGTGTACAGACCTTGCCTACATTGTTTGTGCTACTTTCTTGACACAAAGAGCTAAAAATCCCATCTGGGTTTTTACTAATTTACAGCATTCTGAACATATCTTTGTTTAAGCAGAAAAAGGTTGGAATTTTTCATCTGGGTTTTGGCTAATTTAGAGCATTCTGAACGTATCTTTGTTTAAGAAGAAAAAAGGTTGGAATTTTTCATCTGGGTTTTTGCTTAATTGATACTTGTTCGCTTGAAGCAATTCAAGATTTGCCTCTCACTTAATTTCTGGTCTTTCCCTTTTTTATTATATAATTTATTGCAATATTCCATATTCACTTTATATATACCCCCATATTGTCAAGACCTAGCAATTGTTGCACGTCATTCCCAATTCATCTCTTTCATACTCTAATTACCTGTTTNTTATTCAATTTTTGGTAGCTCACTCTAATTACTCTGTCATCTAAATCATAACCAAAATCATAACCAAAATCTGCAACTTCATTCTGTAATCAGGAGAGTGAATGAATCAATCTGGAGAAGTCGAAGAGTCTTGTCATCATCATCATCACCACCCAACTCCCAATCCCAATCCCAATGCCTAACCGGAAACCCAATAGACGACTGTTGGCGCTGTGACACAAACTGGGCCAGTGACCGAACTCGACTCGCTGACTGTGCAGTCGGCTTCGGCCAATCGGCCGCCGGCGGCAAAAACGGCCGCATTTACATCGTCACAGACTCCTCAGACCATGACACAGTAAACCCCATTCCCGGCACTCTCCGCCATGCTGTCATCCAAGACGAGCCTTTATGGATCGTGTTCAAATCTGACATGGCAATCAAGCTAAAACACGAGCTCATCATGAATAGCTACAAGACAATCGATGGGCGTGGGGCTTATGTCCAGATCACGGGCAATGGCTGCATCACTTTGCAGTACGTGAGCAATGTGATTATTCACAATGTTCGAGTGTACGATTGCAAACCGTCGGGGAATACCAATATAAGGTCGAGCCCAACTCATGTTGGGTACAGAGGAAAATCTGACGGTGATGGTATATCGATATTCGGGTCGAAGGATATATGGATTGACCATTGTTCTTTGTCTAGCTGTACAGATGGTTTGGTAGATATGATCATGGGATCTACGGGTATTACTGTTTCGAATACATTTTTTTCTCATCATAACGAGGTTATGCTTCTGGGGCATGACGATAAGTACTTGCCCGACTCTGGAATGCAGGTTTGTTTGGCTTTGCACAAACTCGAGTCTTGATAAAGGTTGCAACTTTTTTTTATGGTTTAGTGATTTTTGTGCCCTGTTTCGAAAAATTAGGTGACGTTGGCTTTTAACCGGTTTGGTGAAGGGTTGGTGCAGAGGATGCCGAGAGTGAGGAGGGGTTATGTGCATGTTGTGAACAATGATTTTTACGAGTGGAAAATGTATGCGATTGGAGGAAGCGCGAGCCCGACTGTTTATAGTGTGGGTAATCGTTATACGGCGCCTGCTGATCCTAGTGCTAAGGAGGTACTTTGGTACATTTGCTCTTTGCAAATGCTTGTCTTTATTATTTTTATTTCTTTCTTTCTTTTTTTTTTTTTTTTTTT